AACGTTTCCAAAGCTTTTCTAACGGAAAGAAATACTTAATATACGTTAATATCTATGGAATGCTTTGCATAACGTATATTAAACTCTTGTTATTCAAAAATTAGCCAGCCTTTTTAAAAGGTTTTTTATAAGTGCTGGTTTAGTACTGTTTTTTCAGAGAGTACAATCGGAAGAAGTTTCGAGACCTAGTGAAGTTGGTGAGGTTAGGAATAGAAAGACTTGAAGCTGCTGAAAGAAATAAAACAGGATTAGGGTCCTTATCTTCTATTAATGAGCTTGATGATAGGCAGATTAGTGAATCGAAGGATGGCCGCAAAAGAAAGCTGTATTTTTTTTAGTTAGAATTTCTTTTTCTCTTAGCTTATTTAACCTTTGCTACTTATTTTTGTTCGTTCAGAAATTGCAATTTTTATTCTTTATTTTGATTTTAATCTGGCTGATTTTATTGGCTACTTACAAATTTTAACTGGATTGAGTTAAACATGCTTTTTAGGCATGGCAGTAATAGTGAACCAGTTATTACAGTTGAAAGCAATAATTCGGATTCTGAGGCTTCGAGTTCGTTTGAATACCCGGTCAGATTAACTATAAAGCTATCTTTCTTACTATTCTTGTTGAATATATTTTTTTGCAGAAATTGAATACGGCTAACAAGTCGCTGCTGAAATTATATGGTGCCAAAGTGGGCAAGTCATCGACGGGACCAGAAGTATCTTTTGTTTTAATTTTTTAAAGTATTGCTGTAAATGAGGTACTCTGTTCTTTCTTTTTAGTTCTACCAGCAAAAGCCAGACATGTTTTAAACATAACATTTATTTTTGTATTTATTTTTTGTATATTTAACAGCACAAACGAGTCAAACAAGGAACCAGTTTGTCGGAGAAAAAAGAATTTGGCGTCAATAAACTAAATGTTCTTGTGAGGAGACCATCCGTTAATTTCTCAGACCTTGGAGGATGCGAGAAGCAGTTCTTAGTTGGTGTTTCGACTCATGTGTAACCGTATTTTTTTGATGACTCTAGTTTGCTGCGAGATTTCACTTCCATTAGGGTCTTTCAGGATGTGTGTCGCCTTTCAATTCAGCTGAAACATCCAGAAGTGCACAGACAACTCGGTGTAGCACCACCACGTGGCCTTCTGCTTCACGGACCTCCTGGATGTGGTAAAACACTGTTTGCTGAAGCTGTTGCTGGAGTTGGTCTTCACTTGTTTATTTGAAGTTAATTCGTTAAGGTTAAGGCTGGAAGCGTTTTCTGATATTGTTTGAGTTTCTTTTTATTTTATTTTTTTTATTTGGTTATTGTTTTGGTTTCCTTTGATTTTTAGAGTGGGGTAAAAAATTTGAGTCTCTTCTTTACTGATATGTACGCCTGACCCAAATGGTTCTGTGAAAGCAGCTTAAAGTGTTTAATTTAACGTCTTTTAAGGAACTTGGCTTACCATTTCTAAGCGTTGCATCAACAGAGCTTGTGGCGGGGATTTCTGGTGAATCCGAGGAAAAAATACGTTCGCTATTTTCCCTGGCGTTAGAAAATGCACCCTGTATACTTCTACTTGATGAGATTGATGCTATTGCTCCTAAAAGGGAGAGTACAACTCGGGAAATGGAAAAGCGCATTGTTTCACAACTTATCTCGTGTCTTGACGGTACGTGTGCATATTATTTATTTACTTTAGTAAATTGAAAACGAAACCAGATTGAGAATTATTTGAATTATAGATTTATATAAACCATTTGCACAGAGACAGGAGCAGAAGTCACTTGAATGCGATGAGACTGATTCAGTTTTCCACCAACTTCGGCATGTTTTGGTGATAGGTAATCGGTTGATGCTTGCATTTTCGAAGAAGCTTTTTTTGGTCTATTCTGTTATGGATCCAGTCTTCTACAATTATGCGCCTACTATTTATAGTGTTATTTCATGTCAACGTTTTGGCAGTTAGAACTGTTATTCTCACGAGCGAAAGAAGTTCCAGACACCTTTTTTATGCTGGTGATTTTTGACGTTGGTTCTGTAGGTACTACGAGTCGCCCTGATAGTATCGAATCAGCACTGAGAAGGGCTGGTCGGTTTGACAAGGAGGTGGCCTTGGGTATTCCGGATGAGAAGGCTCGAACCGCAATCCTTCAAATTGTTTGCCGGTAGCTTCTTCTTAAGTTCTTTTTAATTATTTTGGCTTTCTTTACTTTTATAGAGGGATTCGTTTGGAAGAGGATTTAAATATGGTTAAACTAGCCAGATTAACGCCAGGGTACGTCGGTGCTGATCTTAAGGCACTTGCTCGTGAAGCTGCTATGTGTGCTGTGAATAGGTTATTTTGTTTTCAAATTTTTGGGTTCTTTACTTCAGTTGTGCTTCTTCTTACCGGTCTTTTTTCAACGGAACTTTAAATAGCAAGTTTTTTCCTTTGCTAACTCAGAAACTGCTATGTGTTGATATGGTAATTCTTTAGGGTTCTTGGCACTGTTGTAAATTCACTGAATAAACAAAGCAAGAAGTCTGCCGAAGAAGTAAAAGAAGAGGTTGGGAAAAGTAAGTTTCGCAATTGAGTTAGCATAAAGTTGTTTTTTTTGACTAGTATCGGGCTATTATACGCTAAATCCGTAACTCATTTAACGTCTCAGAAGTCTCAAAATCTAGATGGTTTGTAGGATTTAGCTTTGAGTTTCGTTATATAAAGCGGACACCATTACTGGTCTGAATCGACAAAGACTGGGACATTTTCAAAGTGGTAAAGCCTACCGAGTTATGGGTGAAGAAGGGCAAATTAAAAATTTTCAACTTCATTTTGCGCAATATTCGATCCTTTCTGAAATTTTTGATTTTTGTCTCATAACGGCTAGAAGAAATAATGGGTCTTCAATTTTTTAAACAAACGTAAATGTTTTTTCTGTACAAAATTCATTTGATATCGACTTAAACCGGAGGTAGAAATGTGAGTTGTAAAGAGAATAGGGGATTACAGAAATAAAGTTAGAACACAGGACTTGAGGGTAGCGAGATAGACTTTTTAATTTTATGAATCTGAAGGGAAACTCTTGTTCTTTACGTTATTTGAAGACAATATGAGGTGTTAGCTAGAAAAATGGTCCTTCAACGTAGGGTGGCTCTATTATTTTTTGCTTTGCTTATTAGATTAAAGTTTATTCTAAAGTAAAATTTTTACTTTTTTTCATTGTTCTCTCATTGATTCTGCTCATTTTTTATCCTTTCTAAACTTAAAATTTTAATTTAACTTGTAATTTCAATTTCTAAAACAGTATTGAGAAATTTTGTTTAAATCTGCCGATAATGATACTATTACTCATTTGATTGGTATGGGCTCTTTAAAATCTCTGATAATTGGCTTCTCAAGAATGTTATTTTCTCTTACTTGATATTTTCTTCCCATTTTTGATTTTAAAATTAAAACTTAAACTACGATGGATTTTGAGTTTAACTGGTTTTAGGGATTTTCAGCTACATGTTTTAGATCTTCTTAAATTACGCATTTGAGTCTGAAACTTTGTTAAAGGCTGTCGAAAGTATGGTTTTTGTCAGAAATGTGAAATAGTGACAACTAAGCAATTTTTGTACTTTTCTTGTAATTCCTTCATTAAAATTGATCTTCGTGAAATACGATATTCCTCTTATGAATGTTCAGTGCTGCTTTGGTTAAAAGATACGAATCCAGTTGAAGAAGATCAGCTTTCCTCCTTGTTTGTCACCTTCGCAGATTTTGAAAATGCTTTGGAGATAGTGCATCCATCGGCAAAACGCGAGGGATTTGCCACAGTTCCAGATGTAACTTGGAGCGATATTGGTGCCTTGACAGAAGTCCGCGAGGAACTACTTTGGAGTATTTTGGCACGTTTTTTAGTTTCTCATCATTGTTCAGTTATCAGTTTCTCTGGAAGCTGTTCATTGAAAAATATTTGATTCTTAACTTGATAAAAAAAATTTGTAATTTTTTGTTTCTAAGTTGATACCATTAGTTGGTTTTTTGTGTGACTCGATTTTACGATTTCTTATGTAAAAACTTTCTTTGATAGCTATTTCAAACAAGACTAGCGCGAGTTGTCAGTTCTGTACTTTTATATAAGAAGTTTGCTAGAAGTAGGTCCTCTACGGGGATTAACCGTAGGGGGGGGGGGTTTAAGAAAATGGTGTTATTACATTTTTTT